GTCATGGCAAGATTGTGCTTGTGCTTCTTTTTATATCCTCACATGTGCTCAACATGTCATTGGTGCTTTTAACCATACCGCATTTCAAAAAGTTCTAAAAAAGACCCGAATGATGCTAGAGCCTGCCATCTGCATCTCTCGTTCGTTAGGTCGTTAGATTTATTGGTGTGTCACAGAGCAATGGAAAGGAAAATGCGTCGAGCAAACGATAGTTGTTATATCCCTTGATTACAGAAATATTCACTTCCCACACTATTGGGCAATCGTGACCTCATGTCTTGTGCTCAGACTGGATCAGGAAAGACGGCTGCATTTCTATTGCCGATCATTCACCATATTCTGGTTAACGGCCCCGAAGCAATCCGTCCGGTATCGTTACATTTGATTCGCTTCGTTGTAGTTGAAATTATATGGTATTTTCCAGTCCATGATGTCAAGCTCAGGTCGCCGCACATTCTATCCTGCGGCTCTTGTTCTCGCACCAACAAGAGAATTGGCTATCCAGATACACAAGGTTTGATAATGGCATTGTTTGCGTTCAGCTGGCATGAGAGGTTTTCTATTTAGGAAGCGGCGAAGTTCAGCTATCGCACCAATATCATCACCGCTATATTATATGGTGGTCGTGAGAATTACCGTGAGCAGATTAATCGCTTACGTGGAGGTTGCCATATCTTGATTGCCACGCCTGGACGACTTATTGATATCCTAGACCAGGTTTGGTTGCTTGAGATAGCCTTTCTTTTGTTATTTGCCCATCCATCTTGATCTGATACACCTATCGAAGTGCCTTTGTTTCAGGGTTACATTGGTCTGGCAGGTTGTCGATACTTAGTACTGGATGAGGCTGATCGCATGCTGGATATGGGTTTTGAACCACAAATTCGAAAAATTGTTGGTCAAGGCATGCCCCCAAAATCAGAGCGAATTACAGCAATGTTCAGCGCGACATTCCCGAAACAAATTCAGGTATGCGCACCTTGTTTATTTGTAACTGATCGAGTTGAGGAGTTGAACTGACGGACTTGGTTGCAACGGGCTTGGTTGCAGACACTAGCGCAAGATTTCCTCAAGCCGAATTATGTGTTTTTGGCTGTTGGACGAGTTGGATCAACGTCTGAGAATATCGATCAACAGATATTGTTGGTAGAGGAGTTTGATAAACGGAAGATGCTCATGAACATTTTAGCGAGAGAAGGTAGATTGATCAATTTTGTTCGACTGAATCAATTATCTGCGTTATTGCTTCTTTTATTATCCTACAACGGTTGTTTCAGAGAATGCTTCACTTGTTTTGGTGTTTGTTGAAACAAAGCGAGGAGCGAATGATCTGGCCAATATACTGCAGCGGTCAGCAAATAAAGTACTGTAGTTTTGATATTTTTCCTTGGTGTTTTCTTATTGCTCATATTTCAGTGCTGTGGCCATTCATGGAGACTTGAAGCAATTCGAACGAGAACGCAATCTGGAGCTTTTCAGGAACGGTTCTAATCCGGTTCTCGTAGCAACAGCTGTACGTGTAAAAGATATCCCTTCTTCCTTGTATTTTCTGTGTTGGTCCAGTCCAGTAATGAGAACAGTACAATTTTCCCTATTTCTTCTATTCTTAGGTTGCCGCTCGTGGTCTTGACATTCCGAATGTGAGGCATGTGGTCAATTACGACCTTCCTGGTGACATCGATGAATATGTTCATCGTATTGGAAGAACAGGTCGATGTGGTAACACGGGACGCGCTACCAGTTTTTTCACTGAGAAGGCAAGCACTTTTGAGATTTACGCTGTTATTATTATAATTTTAAACAATTTGAATTTATAGAATCGTGCGCTGGCGCGTGATTTGTCCCAGCTTCTTAGCGAATCCAATCAGGAAGTACCAGATTTCCTTCTCCGGATGGCTGCCGAGGGAAGAACACCTGGAAATAATCGTCAAGCCAATAGGCGGTTTGGTGGAACAGATCAGCGTCGTGGCGGTGCCGGCACCATGGGAAACCGTGGTGGATACAGGTTTGATCTTCCATTCATTGAGCTTGCCCTTCAACTCTCACGAAGA